AATAGAAAACATTCCCTGATTGATTAGAGTGGTGCTCTGATTGATAAGAGTGGTGCTCTGTGCCGAAACTGTTTGTGCAAGTAATGTGGTTTATGCTGAACAATTACTTTACTTCTGGAAGTATGAAAATTTGGTAGATGCTATACAAACAGTGCTTATGTGAACAGTCCCCAGAAATAACCTTGGTAACTTGAGTCTCAAATGGGCTTCTGTGGTTGATATCTCATCCATATTGTCGCAAGTCATTAGTAGAAGACTTAAGTGCATCTTATATGACTCCACTGGGAGAGGACTCTTGGAAGCTTGTGCCTGGTTTCCTCTAAGCTTTGCCTCTTGTGCCTTTTCCCTTTGCTGATTTTACTTTGCATCCTTTCACTGTAATAAACTTTAGCCATGAATATGACTATAGGCCGAGTTCCTGAGTCTTCCTAGTTAACTGTCAAACCTGGAGGTGGTCTTGAGGACCCTCCACACAAGTGGTATAGTGGGAAGGAAGGACAAAGTTGGTAGAGATACAGAGTGAAAAGAGGGAGAAAAGAAGTCAATATATCAAGCCTCATGTGCTAAATGAGAGTAGTGAGTGAGTTGTCTTTTTTCTAAACTCCATTCTGAGTTGGCTGATGTCAGTTCCAGCGATTTTGTTCAGGATGAGACCAAGAGGAAATACAGATTTTTCTGAGATGTCAGTATCTGTGTCTCGAATCCTTAATATAGCCCCTAGAATATGGGTTGTCATGATTAAGCGGGGAAAAGTAGTTTGAGTGGTTAGTACATACTCTTATGTTAATGTAAAATTCTCAAGATCTTTTTTTTGATAGCTAGAAACTCTTAAGATCCTTAGAAAACAGTTATCTAGAAAATGAGAAACAAAATGATAAATTCCAATTTTAATAGGACCAGCTATATATTTTTAAAATTTTATTCTTAAATGATCATATAGGAAATTCAACTATTTTGGTATACAGCTCTATCAATTTTAATATATGTATAGAATCATGTAACCACCACTACAATCGGAATATGGAACAGTTCTATTGTTCCTAGAAACATCTCATGTTATCCCTTTGTAGTCACATCTTCCTATTCCTAACTCTTGGGAACCACTGACCTGTTCTTTGTCACAATAGTTTTGTCTTTTTGAGAAAGTCATATAAGCGAAATCATACAATATGTAACTTTTAAAGACTGGTTTCTTTAACACAGATTCATCAAGATCATTGCGTATGTCAATGGTTCATTTCTTTTATTGCTGAGTAGTATTCCTTTGCACAGATGTGCCACAATTTAGTTTATTGTTAAAGACATTAAGGTCACTTCCAGCTTTTGGCTATTATGAATAGAGTTGCTATTAACATTTGTGTATAGGTTTTTCATTTCTCCAGGGTAAATACCCAGAAGTAAGATTACTGGGTCTCATGGTAAGTGTATTTTTAACTTTACAACAAACTGTTGTCAAACTATTTTCCATAATGTCTACCATTTTGTATCCCCACCAGCAGTGTATGAAAGTTTCAGTTTCTCTACATTCTCGACTACACTTGATATATTTACTCTTTTTAATTTTAGACATTTTAATAGTTGTGTAATGGTATCTCACTGTGGTTTTCATTTGTGTTTCCAATAACTAATGATGTTGAACATCTTTTGGAATAACTATATTTTTGAAAACACGAAAATTTTTAAATAAAAGTAAGCATGCTGTACTATAGAATCTAAATATTTTACTGTAGCCTATCCTAATAATATTCAATAAAGGATATAAGGATTTCCCGTGACAGTAAAATTCATTAATTAATACAATGGAATTAAAAGAGAGAATTTATCTTTTTAAACCCTACCTTTTCTTGCTGAAACCAAGCCTGCCAATCCTGAAACTGTAATCACTCCAATTTTCGGAAGAAAATCTCGTGGTGGATTCTTCAGATAAACATATGCATCTCAAGAAACCAGTTAAAAATTAATATAAATGACTTACTACAACTGGACATTCTATATAGTTACGATGCAAAAAAGTTAGAGATTTGTTAAGATAATAGCAGATGATTTAAACACTGTTCAAAATGATGGCTTGAGCAGCAACTTAAAAAGCTAGTTAAAATAGTTACTTGGTTACAAAATAAAATCTTCCTTCCATAGCTGATTTCTTGATATTTGTTTTCTTAATCATACAGGAAGTTATTACTTTTCAATGAAATATGATGCTAGAGTGCACACTTTAATATGGATTACTATAAGGTAAATTCTTGATTATGTATGCATTATATCCCTATAATGGAAATGCTTCTGGACTTAACTGCTCAAACATTGGTAGGATCTGGTAAGAACTGAAGTAGACAGATTTTTAGGGAACTCTAAATAATAGTTTAGTGATACATACAGCCACTAGACCCTGCTTGTAACCTCAGAGCAGCCGTTGGTCTTGGTTAAAACCAATGATCAGGATGAGAAGTGAGCCTAGACAAAAAGTAGATGGAGAGTGGGCAGAGTCCAGATTTCTTGTTTTTTTGTTTTTTGTTTTTTAAATATATTTAAATTGTTTCTGGTTCCATGCAGTCCAAAAACACACTCCTTTATCATAGTTAATTATTTAATGGCAATCACTTATATAATATCCCTAAAGATTGATGACAACATATCCCTAAAGATTGATGAAGAATATCATTTGGATTAATTCTTACGTACATTAAATAATGATAATACATATACAGATCATCAACATCATGGAGACATTTAAAATTTTATCTGATCCTTGTGTCCTCTATACACATTTATTTTGACTACTGGCTTAGGCCAAAAATATTAGGAAGGTATATCTGCTGCTAAACATCATTACCAAACTAAAGACTTAAATACAATTAGTTTCCAACATTAGCTTAAATATTCTAGGGTAGCTGATTGGTATAGTGTTTCCCAGCAATCAATAGCAAAAAACTATATATTTTAACAGTAAGTAAAACTTATTTAATCTAATTGAGAACAATGGAGACATTTCTAATTTATGCTTTATGAGTATATAATATAAAACAGATCTCGGTTTGATCCAGGTGCTGTCACTTACTAAGTGACCTTGGTAACCTACTTAATCTTTCTAAACGCCGGTTTCTTCATCTGTAAAATGAGAATAATTATAATACCAATAGTAACAAAAATTGCTATAAAATTAAATTATTTAAAATGCTTATCATAGTGCCTTAGCATAAAATAGCTAAGTAAATAATAGATACTATTGCTTTGTTATTATCATAAGTTGCTATACAGAATATCTTCTCATTTAATAAAACAGGATAATAGATAACATACCATGTTTATTTTTCTCACATTTAAACCTTCCAAGTAAAAAAGACAATAGAACATTCCTAATAATGAGTGGTTTACTCACCTACCTTTTCCAAATTGTACTGTATCCATTATCCCATTTTTCACAAAGATATAAACGCCCTAAGCAAAAAGGAGCAAAAAAGGACATCTGCATTGTTGAAGATGTTGATAATTAGATTAATCATCCACATCTCTGAGATTATATTAAAACGTTGACTTAGCATTGCACCCAAATCTAAATCTAGCTTTCCTATTTATTCACTATGAGGATACTTGTTGAACTTAGCTTCTTTTCATTTCTTGCTTTTTATTCTATTTAACACAGATAATACTTGTTTACTATTTTCCTCATATAAATGGGTAAAGTAATGCTTATAAAATAGTCAGAGTAGCTCAGATAAAAGTTATTGCAGGAATACAAAAATTTATCATCTTGTTTTACAATGGCCTAGAAAATCAATGGAATTTAAATAAAGCATGAAGAGAGGTATATTTCAGCTTAGAATAAGTAACATCTTATCAATAAAGATGCAGCAGCAACAACAAAATGATTTGTGGAGAAAACAATAACAAGAAGCCTAAAGAAAAGTTCTTCATCTTCTCCCTTTTTTAAAAAAATGTGCATTAAAATGAGAAAATAATTTAAAAGAGACATTTATCTCAGGATAGAAATCATCTTACGCAGGCTAATGTTCATCTTGTTTTTAAATAGGAACATAAATTCCCTACAAATCAAGATTAAATGAACCCATTGGAGGGATTAAAGCTTTAAACCATTTTTTTTCCTTTTATCTGTTTCTAACTAATTTATTTTAATCCAAGAAGTATCATTACACATATTTATTGAGTGATAGGTTCTATCTCAATTACACCAGAAGAAAAATGAAGGCATGAAATAATTTACCCATAGTAATTGCCCACAGACATGTTGTACTCTATTGAAGGAACCAGAAAACACAATCCAAATATATGGTCTGCTTCTCTGAACTAGCTGCTAGCAAATCATGGGATAAAAACATCAAAAGAGGTTTTCAAAACAAAGAAAATAAAAAATGAGTATATTAGAAAGGAAAGAAATAAGTTATTGCTATTGAGATCCTGGTATTAGTAACTTTGTCTCAGATATGTTCATGGTGATCAGACATGTAGAGGTTCATCCTGTTCATCATGGTTTCAAGCTGTACAAACCAGCATAGCGACTGAGCTACTTCTCTTTAGGGACTGTCTCTTGAGAAAATTTTACCTTCATAAAATACCTATTGACCAGTTGATTGGGAATAATGTAACTGTTGAGGAAGAAAACCAGTCACTTCTTTAGGGAAATTTTCCTTAGCTGTGTTCAGAAATTTACTTTTACTGGAGGTCACTGCTACCTAAATTTCACATCATTAAGAAGTAGGAGTAGAAATTGAATCTACCCTACATGATTCTAAGTTTAATGCAGAATGTTGAGTCAGAAGTGATTTTTAAAGAATATATTATGTTTTTAGAGGAAAATTAGAGAGGAAACATTGTTTACATTGAAGATAAAATGCATCTGAAAGTGTCCTTCTTCAACCTATTCATTTCATCGTATTAACAGAACATAAAGTTCTTTCCGTCTTAAATTGGGTGACAGTAACAAGAACAATTTAAGGATCTCTTGGAAACAACTTACCTCACTGAAAACAACTTTGAGAACACTAGGAAAATTATGTCTCAGGAGACATAAGTGTGAATCATCCAGCTGTTGGCATATAGCCTTAGGGATAGATTCAGATCCTAATTAGTTAAAATATTTTCCTCAGAGATCGAACTATTAAGAGTGTGTAGTACAACTAGTACAATTAGAATTATTTGACAGGCGAAATTTTAAAAAACAACACCGTATATTCATTAGATGTTTGATATATCTGGAATGACCAAAGTTCACAGATGTGGTAGTTCATAATATCATTAGAATTTTTTTTAAAGAATGAATTAGGAAAAAAAAAAAGCACAAAGGTTCAAAACTGGATAGGCTAGACTTGAAGAAAATCTGTGTAGTTATTAGGTAAGAATGATGAAAACAATGGTACCAGCATTACCATTATTACATTGACATTGGAGATGTTGATGGCAACACACCTTTGTTGATGTGATGATAATGAAACATCAGTATTATTATCAGCTTGTTCTACCCCTCTGCTTCTGGATAATGGTGACTGAAGGCTAAGTATTAGAACAAGGTGAATGCTATGTTGCCCAGTAGCTGACTATGGTCAAAATGGTCTATGAGGTAAACAAAAAAAGTGAACATTTTGCTTGGTCAAATAAGGAACAATTCATAATTCTAGACCTTCATATAAAAGGCCAAACAATGTTTTGTAACATGCTAAGTAACATAAATGCTTGCTAAACTACTTTAATCTATGCAATATGAGTGTAGTAGATTAAACATGTCCACAAATTTTTTGCAGCTACTCGTATTGTGAAGTGGCATCTATTTTCCCTCCTTCTAAAACTGAGTTGGCCTTAGTGACTTGGTTTAACAAAAGAAGTTACTTTCTTGGACACCTGAAGATAGGTAAGAAGCTTGGCAAGTTCTGCCTAGGGCCTCTTGTAACATTTTCTATAGGAGCCCTGAACTGCCCATGTAAGTTATTTAGCCACCTTCCCTGAGAGGACATGTGGAGGTACTTCGGTCAATATTCCCAGGAGAGCTCAGCCTTCTAGCATCTGTGACATGTGGCCAGGGATGAAAATGAAGCTATCTTGGACTTTCTAGATTAGCCCATTCACCTGATAAATACCACTGAGTGACCTCTGTCAACAACACCACATGTAACAGAAGAATCACCTGTGTGAACTCTGATTAAATTCCTGATTCACAAAAATCATGATATATAATAAAATGGTTACTGTCTAAACCACTAAGTTTGAGGGTAGTTTGTTACATGCCAATGGGTAACTGGCACAACTGGAATGTAATACAAACCAGAAACCTCTAATACCAAACAATTATTAGAATTGACTTACCTTGCACCAGCCAATATAACGACCAGTTGTAGTACGGATGGAGGCAAAGCCCATTTGTAAATTACCTGGCTGCTCTTCAATGTATTTAGACTGGAGAGGTGGTGCAGTATACATAGGGAGCTAGAGGCAAAAACAAACAAAAAATAAACAACAAAAACAAAAAACAACTTCAAATAAAAAAAAAATAGCTGAAATTACGTTTCCAGCAGTATGGCAGAAATAAGAATCCTCATCAATTCTCCTGTAAAAAACAACTAAAAATACTATTTTTTTAAAAAAAAATCATCTTAAATGCAGGAATGATCTGGTAAGCTGTTTATAAAGACTATTTGGAAGCCAGAAACTGAGCCCCTACACAAAAAGTAAAAGGTCAATACTGAGATGGATAAGAAAAGCAGAGACATGGTCTCATCAAAGCAAACAAACAAACAACAACAACAAAAACGAAAAACCTCCCCCTCCAGGTATAGAGATCTGAACTTGGGAGGGATCTCAAAATACAGAACTTTTCCTTGAGGAACGAGGGGTTTGTGCTCCACATCAGGTACCTCGACCCTTAGATTCTGCACAGGAGAGATGAATCCCCAAAATTCTTGGCTATAAAAACCAATGGGGATTATGTCCCAGAAAACCATGTAACTGTAGAGAACAGAAAATCCACTCATAACAGGCCTGTACGGACTCACCCAGGAACCCAGCACAAAAATACCATTTTGAAAATTGCCTAGATCATATGGGAAAAAAACTCACTTACTAAACTTAAAGTGTATACTGGAGAGACAAGAAACTGTTGGATCTCTCTCCAAGGAAGGAGACACTGGTGGGCACCATTTTTGTGATCTCATGCTACCATGCTAATGCCAATGCTGGTGGATGCCATTTTGGAACTCTCCTTCTAATCTGCTTGTGCTGGTAGGAGTGCCCCGCTGAGAGCCCCACCAACTCCCACATTCCAGCAGCTGTGTGTCACAGCCAGGGCAGGTGAGTGGCCTGGCAACTCTCATACCACAATCACAGCTGCAGCCCTGTCACAATAGGCAGGTAAGTGTAGCCACACAGGGATTGACCCTTGAATGACTAGCTCTGGTGGCCAGGGGGATAATCCTTCTGGGCCCCATGTGATATCTTGTACGCAAGGCTGCTCCTTCAACACTAGGAAATATAGTTGATATCCCTAATAAATAGAATAAACACAAAGAGTCAGCCAAAATAAGGATACACAAGATAGGTGCCAAACCAAAGACCGAGACAAAATATCAGAAAAAGACATTAATGGAATGGAGATAAGCAATCTACCTAACAGAGAGCTCAAAATAATGGTCATAAAAATGTTCACTGAATGTGGGAGAATGGAAAAACAAAGATCTTTGACAGAGATAGAAAATATAAGAAAGTTCCAAGCAGAAGTTACAGAGCTGAAATTCCAATAAATAAACTGAAAAAATACACAGGAGGGATTCTACAGCACACTGGATGAAGCAACAAAACAAATCAGCAAGTTGGAAGACAAAGCAGTGAAACTCACCCAGAAAGAACAGGTGAAAGATGAAAGAATTTAAAAACATGAAGCTATCTTAAACAACCCTTGGGGCAACATCAAGTAGAATAACATTTGCATTACAGGGGTCCCAGAAGGAGAAGAGAGCAAGAAAGACAGAGAGGAGTTATTTGAAGAAATAATGGCTGAAAACTTTCCTAATCTGGGGAATGAAACAAATGTCTGGGTCCAGGAAACCAGAAGATTTCCAAAGATGAACCCATAGAGATCCACACTAAGACACATTATAATTAAAACGACAAATATTAAAGACAAAGAATGTTAAAAGCAGCAAGACAAATAAATTGCTATATAAAAGGAAAACCCCTTAAGGGTATCAGCGGATTTTTCAGTAGAAACTTTGCAGGCCAAAAGAGAATGGCATGGCATACAGAAAGTGCTGAAAGGAAAAACTCCAACCTAAGAATACTATACTCAGCAAGGTTATCATTCAGAATTGAAGTAGAGATTCAGAGTTTTCAAGATAAGCAAAAGCCTAAAATGTTCATCACCATTAAAAGAGGCTTACAAGAAATGTTAAAGGGACTTCTTTAAACTGAAGAGAAATGTCATTAATAACAAGAAAAAGCATTTGACAAAATAAAATATCCATTTCTGACAAAAACTCCCAACAAAGTGAGTACAGAGGGAATGTTTATCAACATAATAAAGGCCGCACATGACAAATCAACAACTAACATCATACTCAACAGTGAAAAGCTGAACTCTTTTTCTCAAAGATCAGGAATACGACAAGGATGCCCACTATTGCCACTTTACTCAACATAGTATTGGAAGTCCTAACCAGACAAAGTAGGCAAGAAAAATAAATAAAGGCCATCCAAATAAATGTAAAACTCTCACTATTGGCAGATGACATGATATTATATACTAAAAACTCCAAAGACTTCACAGAAATCTGTTAGAAATAATAAATTCAATAACGTTGTAGGAAACAAAATCAATATACCAGAATTTGTGCTATTTCTCTACACTAATAATAAACTATCAGAATGAGAAATTCATAAAATGATCGTATTTATAACTGCATCATAAATATACATAGGAATAAATTTAACCAAATATGTCACTGAAAACTTAGACACTGATAAAAAAAAAAAAACTGAAGAGAACACAAATAAATGAAGAGACATTTTATGCCCATGAGCTGGAGGAATTAATATTGTTAAAATGTCCATACTACTCAAGCAATCTATATATGCAATGCAATCCTTATCAAAACCCCACTGGCTTTTTATCCTTTGTTTTGTTTACGTGGTGGAACATATTGATCAATTTACATACGTTGAACCATCTCAGCACCTCTGGAATGGACCCCACTTGATCTTTTTAATATACTGTTGTATTCGATTTGCTAGCAGAGGATCTGAACAGACACTCCTCCCAAGAAGACATACAAATGGCCAACAGATATATGAAAAGATGCTCAACTTTACTAGCTATTAGGGAAATGAAATCAAAACCACAATGAGATATCACCTCACATCTGTTAGAATGGCTACCATCAACTGGACAAGTAATAACAAGAGCTGGAGAGGTTGTGGGGGAAAAAGGTACCCTCATACATCCTCATACATCATTAGTGGGGATGTAAATTGGTATAGCCACTAGAGAAAACAGTATAAAGGTTATTCGAAAAATTAAGAATAGAATTACCAAGTGACAAAGTAATCTCTCTTCTGAGTATCTACCCCCAAAATTTGAAAACATTTGTAAAGATACATGTACCCCAATGTTCACTGCAGCATTATTCACAGCGGCCCTTTGATAGATGATCAGATAAAGAAGATGTACCCATATACAAAGGAATATTACTCAGCCAAAAGAAAAGATGAAGTACTGCCATTTGCAACAACATGGATGGATCTTGGGATTATCATGCTAAGTGAAATAAGTCAGACAGAAAGGGTTGAGAACCAATGATTTCATTCATATGTGGGATATAAAACTAAAAGCAGCAATAGAACAAGACAGCAAACAAAAACTCATAGACACAGACTACAGTTTAGTGGTTACCAGAGGGAAAGGTGGGAGGCGGGAAATAGGTAAAGGTAAAAGGGGTCAAATATATGGTGACATAAGATTTGACTTTGGGTGGTGAACACACAATGCAATAGGCAGATGATGTGTTATTGAATTGTACACTTGAAAACCTATATTAATTTTATTAACCAATGTCACCGCAATAAATGAAAAAAAAAAAAGAAAATAAATAAAAGCTTGCAATTTTCAACAACATGGTTGGATCTTGACACTATTATGCTAAGTGAAATACGTCAAGTGGAGAAAGACAAATATTGTATGATTTCACTCATGTTGAATCTAAAACAGACAAATGAACAAACAAAACAATGACAACAAAAAACTCATAGATACAGACAACAGAATGGTGATTACCAGAGAAAAAGGATTAGGGGGGTGGGCAAAATGGGTAAAGGGGGTCAAGTGTATGGTGAAAGACAGTAACTATACTTTTGCTGCTGGTCATTTTGTAGTGTATGCAGATCTCAAATTATAATATTGTACATCGGAAACTTATGTGATGTTATATACTAATTTACCTGAATAAAACAGATGTATGGTGACAGAAGGAAATTTAACTTTCGGTGGTGAACACACAATGCAATATACATATGATGTATTATTGAACTGTATACTTGAAACCTATATAATTTTATTAAGTAATGTCATCTCAATAAATTTAATAAAAAATAAAGGATCTGCCCCTTACTAACAGTAATGACAAATAAATGGCAAAACAAAAAAAAAGTGGTAAATATGTGGGTAAATCTAAACCAATGAATTTATTAAATAATGTTTTGTGTGTGTTTTTAAAATAGAACTCAATCCGGAGAGAGGGGGGGAGATGGCGGACTAGGTAAAATCAGGGTTCGACTCCTCCCAAGTCTGCATGGAAATTATAACCTAATTATAAAATAATCAGCATTGAGAATCACCTGAAGTCCAGCTGATAATAACATCTACACTGAAAATATAAAGGAGCCACATCTAAACCGAAGCCAGTAGGAGGGGCAAAATCACAAATCCAGCTGGATCGACACCTGTGGGTGGTGGAGGATCACTGGGAAGGAGAGTGAGGCTGCAGAGGCTCTTCTGAAGAAGCGGGGGATCCTTGTCTCATCTAGGGGCTCCCCAGCCCAGGGAAAAGGAAATTCCAATAACTGACTGTAGAAACCAGAGGGGATTCTGGCTGTCTGGGTGAGACGGAAGGAGACTGAATCCCTAGACGTCCCTTTGAGGAACCTACGCACAGGCTTTCTGACCTGTGGACATACCCAGGACACTGGCGGTAGGTCAGAGGATTCATTCTGAGAATGGGATTCATTCTGAGAATGTCTGCATTACCTGGTGCCAGAACGGGAGCTAGAAGGGCAGCCACCATTGTGCCTTGGTCTGGCCCCTCTACTGGGAAATCTACAGACCCCTCCCACAGAGCCATTAGGAAGCCCTGGTCAGAGGGAATTGGCCTGCCCAAAACAACCTGCGGATTGCCTAGAGCCTTTGTTACTAGATAGCTGACAAACCCTGTTCTGATTCAGGG